AGAAAATAATTCCATTTACAATAGCCACAAAAAAATATATAAGATAACTAGGAATAAACCTAACCAAAGAAGTCAAAGACTTCTATAAGGAAAACTATGAAAAACTATATATAAAAAAAAAGATGAAAAAGAAGAAAAATAAATTGAAAATGACACAAAAAAATGGAAAGACACCCCATGTCCTTGGATTGGAATAATTAATATAATCAAAATGTCAATTTAACCCAAAATAATTTACAAATCTAATGTAATCCTAATCAAATTACCAGAGATACTCTTCACAGAATTAGAAAAAAAATCATAAAATTTGCCTGGAATCATAAAAGGCCCTGTATCATCAAAGCAATACTGCACAAAAAACAATATAGTAATAAGCATCTCATTCCCTGACCCCAAAATATATTACAAAACTGTGATAATCAAAACAGCATGGTAGTGGCACAAAAACAGGAATGTAGACAAATGGAATAGAATAGAGAACCCAGAAATAACCCCCAAACATATAGTCAACTGATTTTTGACAGAGAATGTAAGACAATCCAGTTAGGAAAAGAAAATCTCTTCAGCAAATGGTGCTGGAAAAACTGGATATCCACCTGCAGAAAAATTAAACTAGACCCTTCTCAGCATAAACAAAAATCAACTCAAAATGGATCAAAGATCTAAACATAAAACCTCAAACTATACAAATGCTGGTGGAAAACACAGGGAAAACTCTTGGAGTAATGGGGTATGAAGAGACTTCTTAAATAAGTCCTCCAAAGCACAGGTAATCATCCTGAAAATAGGTGAGTGGAATTACATCAGGTTAAGAAGCTTCTGCACAACAAAAGAAACAATAATTACAGTGAAGAGACAACCCTTTGAATGGGAAAATATATTTACAAATTCTGCTTCAGATAAGGGACTGATAAGCAGAATATATAAGAAACTCAAGCAACTTACCTGCAAAAGTAAATAAATAAATAATCAATCCAGTCAGAGGATTGACAAATGAGTTGAACAGACAACTCTACATGGAAGACATATGACCAGCCAAAATGCGTATTAAAAAGTGCTCAGCATCCCTTATCATAAGGAAGATGTAAATCAACACCACAAGGAGATGCCACTAACCTCAATCAAATGGCTAAGATTAAAAGAAATAAAGAATAATAAGTGCTGACAAGGCTGTGGTAAAAGGGAATTCTCTTACACTGTTGGTGGGAAAGTAAGTTAATACAGCCACTGTGGAGGTTCCTCAAAAAAACTACAAATAAAACTACCATACAATCTATCAGTTCCACTCCTAGGTATCTATCCAAAAGGTAGGAATAACTCAGCCAGAAAAACACTTGCACATCCCTGTTTATTGCGGTATTATTCACAATTGTTAAGACGCGGAATCCACCCAAATGGCCAAGAACAGATAAATGGATTGAAAAAGTGTGGCACACATGCACTGCGGAATACTACGAAGCCATAAAAAAAAATGAGATCCTGGCATTTGATAGCAAGTGGATGAATATGGAAGATTTAATGCTGAGTGAAGTAAGCCAGATTATGAAAGAGAGGCATGGTATCTCCCCACTTAATATATACTGAATGTTTGTACTCTATGGCAAAAACTGAAAGACTAGAAGGTACAAAAGCAGTCAAGGTATACAATAGAGCAGGGAAGGGAGGGAATCAATGGGAAAAAAAGTAAAAACATTTAATGGATACAAAAATGGAAAATTATCTAATAAGTTTAATGTGAATGGTTTTATATATATATATTTTTTTTTTGAGAAGTTTTTGCTATAGGGCGCTTGCGCTCGCTGGAAAGACAGAGAGAGACAGAGAGACAGAAAGCGAGAAATTATTCCCTGGGGGGATGGCCATGCCGCAATCCCTTCTTCTCCATTCTCCTCTCAGGATTTTGGGCAAGCACACACGCACATGCACCTGGTGTGTGTTTAAGCACCGGGTTCAGGATTCGAACCATAGTTGACGACATGAGAGTCCAACGACATAGCCATTATGCCAACTTCTGGTCCCTGTCAATGATATTTTTAACTGGACTAATGTGCAGCGTCTTGTGTATTCATACTGGGAAAATCATCATTTCATATGCTGTAAAGATATATAGTGATTAAATATAAAAATAAGAAAATAAAGAAAAAATAAAAATAAAATGAAAATTAGAAAATGTAACAAGGGACATTGAAGGAGCCCTGAATAAATGGAAAGATATGTAACATTATAACATTCCTGGATGGGAAGATTCAATATGGTATTCATGTTTATTCTTCCTCAAAATATAAATTTAATAAAGACACAATAAAGTTTTTATGGACATCATTCAGCTGATTTCAGATTTCATCTGTAAGAGAAAACGCACCTGTCAGGATAACTAGCTTGTCCAAACAACAAAACAGACCAGTATCAGTAAATGTAGTAGTGATCCGCTTTTCTTGTTTTTAATCAAACAAATCTTTTTTTATAAATTTGCCAGAGGGTGCATGAACTAGCTGAAGAGAGAGACAGAGAAAAAACAAGAAAGCACCCATCACAGGGCATGGTCCCACTTCAGTCTCTGCTTCCCCATCTTTTCCTCCTTTCAAGATTTTGGGCACACATGCCTAGCGTGTTTCTCAAGCTGCCAGGTCTGGAATTCGAACCAGTTATTGACCACATGAGAAACAACTGCCTTAACCACTGCACCATGGGCTGGCCCAGTCAAACAATGTTAATCAAGTTATTGATAAGAACGAAAGTGCAATGACATGAAACCCTGCATTCTTCTGTTCTAAATTGTTTTTCATTTCCTTTGTTTGTGAGGTGCTGAAGGTAGGACCTCTCTTGAATCTCCATTTTCGCGATGGGATAAGGTACAGATTGTTCTAGGTGCTGCTCAGGCTGAGTGGATGGTTCATCTCAATGAACTTACAAGCAGTAGGTGGATTTGCTGGTGGAGGACAGTTGGCCATCCAGTGAAGCCAACCACGCCGTCCAGGGGCATTCCATCCACATCCCAGCAGGGATGCCGTTCCCTTCAGTCAAGTAGATACCCATCGGTGGTGGCCAAAAGCTTGCTTGTCTTCATAGTATTCGTTTCCATCTTTGTCTTCCCTCATTAATGTACCAACCCGCACATCATTTGCCTGAAAAAAATCCACAGCTAGCCACAGAGGTCACCATGGTCGCCAACCTGCAGCTCAGGCTTCCCTACCTGCAGGAACTCCAGTGTGGAATTTCTCCAGGCAGAGATACAGAGATTAACCAACTAAAATAGAACAGAAACAGACCCATGGAAGTATGTAATTTAATACATATTAAAAGTTCATTAAAAATGGTAAAAGGACCTGCAATTTACCAAATGATGGTGTGACATTGACCATCCAAGCTGAAGCATATAAAACTGTATTTCTAACCTGTGATACCAAAAACAATTATAAGTAGATTTTTAAAAATATTTTTTGAAAGAGATTTTTTTGTGTGCATGCACTTGCCGGAGAGACAGAGAGACAGAAAGTGAGAAATCACCCCCCAGGGGGAATAGCCATGCTGCAATCCCTTCTCTATTCTCCTCTTGGGATCTTGGGCACACATGCACACGGGCTGGCGTGAGTTTTAAGTCACCAGGTCTGGGACTTGAACCGAGGTCGACTACGTGGAAGTCCAGCGACATAACCATTATGTCATCTGCTGTTCCCCATAAGTAGATTTAAAGACTAAACACAAATAACATAGTAAGTTCCTAATAAATGGTTATTAATTTCCAGAAACTGGTGGTGGAATACAAACTTTCAGAAGACACATCTGGCTTTGAACTCATAGGACAGTGCGGGGGAAGAGCATAAACAGACACACAGCTGAAGTGTAAATTTGGATTTATATTCTATGATGGAGGTACTCACTCTAGAGAAGCTCTTAGCCCAGCCTGCAGCAGGTGCCCGCTAGGCTGAGTGGAGAGCAGGGAGAGAGTGGGCGGGGTGTGAACCGGGGAGAGTGCTGAGCGCACGCCCTGGCGGTGGCGGCTACAGAGGTTAGCCTGGCAGGCGTGGGAGGCTCTTTGGGAAGAGTGGAGGCAGAGGACAGTGATCACCAATGGAGGGGACAGCAGGCCAGCGGGGGCTGAGGATGCTAGCCTAGCTGGAGAGCCTTTGAAAGTTTAAGCAGGGTGACTTTTCCTAAAGTTTTATTTGCAAATACATGTAATTGCTGGGGA